TGTCAGGAGGGCGGCGCAGCTGGAGGGTGAGAGTGTCAGAAGGGTGACAGCTGGAGGGTGAGTGTGTCAGGAGGGTGGCATAGCTGGAGGGTGTGTGTCAGGAGGGTGGCGGCATAGCCAGCTGGTGGGAATGCCGGGGGAACCCTCAGGAGCCCCCCCCATTGCCAGCAGCCTTGGTACTTCCATGGCCCGGCCTGCGTCCCTCCACTCAGGCAGCTGAGCTCTTGGCCAGCGGCTGCATAGCCCCTGTGTGCCTGAGGGGAGACTATGACACCTCTCCTTGCCCCTGGGACCCTCAGACATAGGGGAAAGGAAGAATAGAGGGGCCGTGGGTGCCTGGTGGGAGGGTGTGCTGTGAGAGCAGGTGGCAGCCTGGGGCCACAGGAGGCCCTTGGCTGGTGACAAGCCCAGTGGCTTTGGCGCAGGTGCTGTGGCGCAGCTCCCTCCAGGCAGTGCTTCCACCGTGAGCCGTGCAGCCTCCATGGTGCTGACGAAACGGGTCTGGCTGGCAGCACTTGAACTGCCTGAAACTGGAAAACGTCTTGGACACATGCTGCCCGCTCTGCCCTTCCCTGGCCATAGACAAAACCATGCATGTGTTTTAGTGGTCAAGCCCCTTGGGGAGCTCCAGGCTACAGTGTGGCTGGGAGGTGGCGCCTCTGGCAGCAGCAGTGGGAAAGTGGTTGTGTGGACAGGAGGGCTGAGGGCGGAGCTGGGGTGAGCATCTGGGGGGCAGTGCGGCCGTGCTGATGGGCCCCCCCAGGGTACCATGGGGGAGGATGGGAGGGAGAGCAGGCTGCACAGGGAGCTGACTGTGGTGGGAGGTGTTAGGGGTGTCTTCTCTCCAAGTCCCATCCTGCCACTAGGCAGCATCCCTGGGGCCATCAGCATAGCTCACCAGCCCCCAAGGTGGGAAACCCTCCACCCCAGCCTTGAGAAGGGATCTTTGAGCCCCCACGTTGAGTGCCAGGCCCCAGCCCCTTCACACCACTCACGCCCTACAGAACCACTGTTGTCAGGTGTGTGGGGGCTGTCTTAGTCAGCTGGGGCTGTTATTTAAAAAGTGCCACAGACGGGCCGGGCGTGGTGGCTCACACCTGTAATCCCAGCACTTTGGGAGGCCAAGGCAGATGGATCACCTAAGGTCAGGAGTTCAAGACCAGCCTGGCCAACATGCTGAAACCCCGTCTCTATTAAAAAATACAAAAAATTAGCTGGGCGGGGTGGTGGGTACCTGTAATCCCAGCTAATCGGGAGGCTGAGGCCGGAGAATCGCTTGAACCTGGGAGGTGCAGGTTGCAGTGAGCCAAGATCACACCATTGAACTCCAGCCTGGGCGACAGAGCAAGACTCCATCTCAAAAAAAAAGTGCCACAGACTGGGTGGCTTGCACAGTTGGCATGCCTTGTCTCACGGTTCTGGAGGCTGAAATGGCCAGGATGGAGGCCTGGCAGGGCTGTTTCTGGTGAGGCCTCTCTTCCTGGCTTGTGGACAGCCGCTTTCTTGCTGTCTCCTCACATCACCTTTCCTTTGAGTGCTAGTTCTTTCAGGTCTCCTCTTTTTTAATTTTTTAACATTTTTAGAGTCAAGGTCTCTGTCACCCAGGTTGGAATGCAGTGGTGTGATCACAGTTTACTGTAAACTCAAACTCCTGGGCTCAAGGGTTCCTCCTGCTTCAGCCTCTCACAGTGCTGGGATTACAGGCATGAGCCACCACACCCATCTCTTATAAGGGCACTAATCCCATTCAGGAGGGCCCCACCCTCATGACTTAATCACTTCCAAGAGGCCCTGCTCTCAATACCATTACCTTGGGCATTTGGGCTTCAACGTGTACGTTTAGCCTGGACACAGACATTCAGTCCACAGCTGGGTCTGTACCTCAAACCGTACCTGGGCTTCCTCTCTTCAAACTTGGGTTTTCCCCTTCGCACCTGTTCTGCCCCGTCGTTGCTGTGGCTTCCTGCTCTGGAGATCTGTGCCCTCCCATCCTCACCTCTCCCCAAACTGAGGCCAGGCCTCCTGTCCCTGGGCCTTGGCCCTTGCAATTCCCTCAGTGCAGCAGCCCAGCCTGCCTGTGTTCTGCCTTGGGACCAAAGGACCACCAGGCCCCACATCCCTCTAGAAGGTTCTGCAGCAGAACCTCTGTGTCTGTTTCCGCAGGAGCCTTCTGATGGAACGTGATGCCTTGAAGCCCAACTCACCTCTGACCGAGCGGCTCATCCGCAAGGCGACATCCGTCCACCTCATGTAGTGAGCCAGCTTGGCCGCCTCCACCCTGCAGAACCTCAGTGATGGCCTCGCTAGCGTCCAGTCCGCTGCTCCATCGGCTTAGGGAAGGGAGACGGCCAGAGCCTGTTTGTTAGGGCTGTTAGAGGGTGATCTTCAGTTTCACAGGAAAGGGTCAAAGGTTAATTTTAAATGTGATTCTGAATCTTCTTGCAGTCCTCGAGAAGGGCCCGCATGTCTTTTTAGCAGCCACAGCCAGTGTAGGTGCTGCTCTCTCCACCTGCCTTACAAATTCTATTTCCCAGGGGAATGTGTCTACTGCCTGGTGGTTCAGGGGTTGGAAGGCAGGGCAGGGGTGGGGGCTAATTCCGCTGGAAGGAGTCTTCCAGAGGCAGCCTCCCCCCACCATCTGTCCCCCTACCCACCAGGCTATCCTTGGGATGGACCTTTTCATTTACCATATTCTAGACAGGTTCTGTCGTCTCACTGTGTTGCTGTCCCATGTTTCAGGTGAGGGTACCAAGGGTAGGGGACCTAGTGGCCCGCCTGGTGCCTTTGGCCTCGGCCCCCTGCTGCTGCAGCCACCGCCCTCCTTGCAGATGAACGCGCACATGGGGTCCTCCTCTGTCTCTGGGGCGAGCCTTCTGGCCCCTGGCGGGGACTGTGTTGGTACTTGGAGCTGTTTCTCTTTAAACTGCACATTGGAGGGCTTCATGTCCACTATGATTTTAATCATAAACACGCTTCCGAAGTGCAAGGATTGAACTCAGGCCTGCTGTGTTGTGGCAAAACGCAAAGTGCTGTGAGGTGTGGCTGTGACAAGCTTGGAGCGGTCCTGCAAATGCCGCCCCTGGCTCCTGCTTCCCCACTGAGCGCCCTCCTGAATGTGCTGCCGACTCAGTTGTCTGTTCAGCCTTCCTGTGAGGAGTGCTCCCAGTGCACAGATGTTTTTCAAGTTCCTTCAGTTTGTCCTGAACTTAGGGAGGGATTCATCAGGGCAGGAAGTGGGCAGGCCTCCTAGAAGGGAGAGGAGACCTCTAAATCTATTGAGTGCCCACAGTTTGCTCAAGCCCAGACTTAATTCAGGGATTAAAATGAATTAATCGGTTCCTCTAAGTCTTTGAGCATCTATGCTCCAGCCCTGGGGTTGGGTCCTGGGGAGACAGCTTCTCCTTGAACTTAAGGTAGGTGGGGCACGGCACCTCACGCCTGTAATCTCAACACTTTGGGAGGCCAAGGCAGATGGATCCCCTGAGGTCAGGAGTTTGAGACCAGCCTGGCCAACATGGTGAGACCCCATCTCTACTAAATATACAAAAATTCGCCAGGCGTGGTGGTATGCATCTGTAGTCCCAGCTACTCAGGAGGTTGAGGCAGGAGAATCACTTGAACCTGGGAGGCAGCTGTTGCAGTGAGCCAAGATCGCACCACTGCAGTCCAGCCTGGGTGATAGGGCAAGACTCTGTCTCAAGGAGGAAAACAGTTAAAAAGTAGGTGGGGCATCTAGTCAAGAAAATGGGTAATTATAGTAGAATTTCCAGTGAAGTGCCTTCTCTACCCAGGAGCTAGGGACACATCCTAAGGAGCCTCCCTCCCGTCTCCTGGTCCGAGCAAGACGTGACTTGGCTGTGTAATTGGGAACCCTGGTTCCTCCTCCAGGAAGCCTTCTACCCCCCCAACTCCCGCTGCAGGCTGGTGAGGGTGCTGCCTCTGTGCCCCTCAGCCCTTGGCACCTGCCCTTGCTATTGCACCCCTGCCATGACCTCCCCAGGTCAGAGACAGCATCTATCCTCAGCATCACCCGGCAAATGGCCTGCACCGAAGAGCTGTCAATGAAAGTTGGTGAATGAATGCATAAATAAATGTAGCTGAACTCTGTATAAGGCTTTCTTGCATTACTGTGAAGAAATACCTGAGGCTAGGTAATGTATGAAGAGGTTTAATTGGCTCACAGTTCCTCGGGCTTTTCAGGAAGCATGGTGCAGGCATCTGCTTCTGGTGCAACCTCAGGAAGCTTAAGATAGAAGGTGACGGGGAGCCAGCGTATCACAGTGAGAGCAGGAGTGAGAGGGAAGGGGAGGCCTCAGTCTCTTGAATAACCGGATCTTATCTGAAGTAAGCAAGAACTCAGTCGTCACCAAGGGGATGGTACTAAACCATGAGGGATCTGCCCTCCTGATCCAATCACTTGCCACCAGGCCCCACTTCCAACACTGGGATCGCATTTCAAGAGATTTGGAGGGGACAAACATCCAAACTATGGCAAATCCTGCTGGGGGAAGGCAGAAATGAATTTGCTGTAGATAGGCCACACCTACTATGTGCTGACATGATACCGGGAGAGGAGTATCAGAAGTGGACGTTGGGGATCCCCCTGCCAGTCTCCCAGCAGACATCCCCAGGACAAGCCGAGGGGGAACGCAATGAGCAGGCCAAACTCTTTCCAAGCTGTTTGATCAAACTCGCCTACCCCAGCACGCACAGCCCCTGCCTGCTGCCCTGTGCTGGGCTGGGTGAAGCTGGGGAGACTGCTGAGTGAGGGCTGGGCTGGGATGGCCTGCCCTTTATGAGCCCACGGTCTTCTGGTGAAGGAGCACAGCAACATGGAGTGATTGGTGTGGATAATGGAAAACCAGGGACACCCGGAAGTGGCTCCAGCCAGCCTGGAAGGCCTCTGCCCTGGGGCCCGGGTGGCTGCTTCCTAGGCAGCTCTCCACCGAACCTGCCCGAAAGAAACAGCTTATCTTCCTCCCTGAAAATGGTGCTCTCCGGAGTTCTATCCTTTCCAGGGCGCGTCATCCCAGGCTCCTCTTCCTGCACTTTCCTCCATCCATCAGTCCTGGATAATCAAAGCTCCCGCTTAGTGACATTCTACCCTGGGTGGAGCCCCTCATTTGATCCTCAAGCCCCCGAGTTGGGTATTACACCTGGCTGGCAGGCAAATCGAGGTCAGTCTCAAGTTGCCGCCCACTGACCCGTCTGCCAGTCCTGTCCTTGCGTCTCTATGGCTCAGGACAGAGATTTCCTGTCTGCGTCCCACCCCTCCCCAGCATATGCACCCCCCAAGGCAGGCTCCATCACCGGGCCCCAGTCCCTGGCATCTCTCTTCCAGCGCAGCCCCCCAGCTGGCCTGTAAAGCCCAGGACAGATTCTCGCCCCGCCCTCGGCCGTCCTCAGGCCTTGGCGGTTGGGGAAGCCCGTGAAGGGCAACGGTTCTCCTCCGACCGCACAGGCTGTGCAGCTCCGGCCGTGAGTCTCCTTCTGGTCCGAGTCACCCGGCGCAACCGTGCGCGCCTCGGGGCAGGGACCGCACCTTTTCACTACTGTGCTAGTAAAAGCTGGCGCACGCGGCTTCGCAGAAGGTGGGTGGGCCTACTTGGTTTAGCCTTCCCACCGACACCCTTAAGTGGCAGTTTTCACTTTCTCCCTACACACAAAGAGCTGCGGTACGTGGGTCCGGCTGATGCGGACTGCGAACAGACACTAGGCGGCCAGGGCCGACGCACTTCCGGGTGGGAGCGCCCCCGCGGTGTGCGGAGCCAATCGCTGCGTTGAAGCAGTTCGCGTGCGCGCGCGTGGGGCGGGGCGGGGGGGGGGGCTTCTTCCTCGGCGTCTCGACTACAATCCCCAGGATGCACCGGGCCTACCGCGTCACGGAGCCCTTTTCAAACCCGCCAATCGGCAGCCCGCGTCGTCCGGCGCCGCGTTTAAATCCGTACCGGAGGCGCGTCCTGCGTTGTCGCGGCTCTAGGTAAGGGGGTCAGGGGCGGGGGTGAAGCGTGCTGGGTGGGCCAGGTGCGGCGCGGTGCAGACGTTCTCGGGACGCGGGCTTGGACTCGAACCGGGGTCACCGGGGCCCCTCGCGCCACGGTCTGGGATGCAGGGAGGTCCAGGGCTGCCCCCCGCGCAACCAGAGCCCCCAACACTCTGGCCCAGGAGCCGAGAATTCCGTTATCTGGTCCGATAGCGCTCGGGCTGACCCCCGGCCTGGCGGCACTCGGCCCCTGGCGTCCCCTGGGATGCGATCATTTCACAGCGACCCCGCGCCGCCTCTCCCGGACCTGGCCGCGACCTTCAGTTCTCTCTGCCCCTGTGAGCCGAAGGCTGAAGGAACCAGGAGCCCTGGGCCCTGACACGCACTCACCTTCTGGTCCCCTTTCATCCAGCAGTGACTTCTGACAGCTCTCTCCATGGAAGGAGGCGGCGGCCGCGATGAGCCTTCAACCTGCCGGGCAGGGGACGCGAACATGGATGACCCTAAGAAGGAAGGCAAGTCCTTGCTGCTGCGGCGCTGTTGTTGTTTAAGACGTTCAGTAGAGATGGAGGTTGATTTAATGTTGCCTTGAGAAATTATTTCTTTCTCAAGTGCTCGTCTTGTATTCTGCATCTGTGAAACACATGACATCTGTCTGTATTTTCTGGTTTTCTTTCACCTCCTCCCAATTTTAAGTTTCATCACAGCCAGGATTCTCATCAGTTTTATTTAGCACAGTGCCCCCGTGCCCTGAACAGTACCTGACACTTTGTGGGTGCTCAAACGTTTGTTGAATTGAATTCGATGTTTCCTTTTTTGTTTGTCCCTGGTTTCTGTTTGCTAAGAATTTTTTTAGGATCTTTGAGACCTTGTTAATGAGTGAGTCTGGTCCAAAACTTTCCTTTCTTCTTGTGTCCTTGTCTGGCTTGGGTATCAAGGTGAGGGTACAGCTTCACAAAATGAGTTACAGGCCACACACCCTCTTTTTCTCTCAAAGCGTGTTTTTTGGTTTGTTTTTGTTTTTTCAGATGGCATTTCGATGTTTTTGCCTAAGCCGGAGTGCAATGGCTCCATCTCAGCTCACCACAACCTCCGCCTCCCTGGGTCAAGCGATTCTCCTGCCTCAGCCTCCCGAGTAGCTGGGATTATAGGCATGCACAACCATGCCTGATTAATTTTGTATTTTTAATAGAGACAGGGTTTCTCCATGTTGGTCGGGCTGGTCTCAAACTCCTGACCTCAGGTTACCTGCCCACCTCTGCCTCCCAAAGTGCTGGGATTACAGCATGAGCCACCACGCCCTGCTGTTTTTGTTTTTTTGTTTTTTTGTTTTGTTTTTTTGATGGAATCCGGCTCTGTCACCCAGGCCGGAGGGCAGTAGTGAGATCTCAGCACTGCAATCTCTGCCTCCTAAGCTGAAGGGATTCTCCTACCTCAGCCTCCTGAGTAGCTGGGATTACAGGTGCCCACCACCACACCCAGCTAATTTTTGTATTTTTAACAGAGATAGGGTTTTGCCATGTTGCCCAGGCTGGTCTCGAACTCCTGAGCTCAGGCAATCCACCCTCCTTGGCCTCCAAAAGTGCTAGGATTATAGGTGTGAGTCATGTCACCTGGCCTCAAAGCATTTTCATATCCTTTTATCCTTTGATTCTCACACTATCCAAGGATTCTTTTTTTTTTTTTTTTGAGGCGAGTCTCAGCATGTCCCCCAGGTTGGATTGCAGTGGTGTAACCTTGGCTCACTGCAACATCTGCCTCCCAGGTTCAAAGGATTTTCCTGCCTCAGCCTCCTGAGTAGCTGGGATTACAGACACCCACCACCATGCCCAGCTAATTTTCTTTCTCTTTCTTTCTTTCTTTTTTTTTTTTTTTTTTTTTTTTTTTTTTTTTTTTTTTTTTTTTTTTTTTTTTTTTTTTTTTTTGAGGTGGAGTCTTCCTCTGTCACCCAGGGCTGGAGTGTAGTGGCGCGATCTTGGCTCACTGCAATCTCCACCTCCCAGGTTCACGCGATTCTCCTGCCTCAGCCTCTGAGTAGCTGGGACTACAGGCATGCGCCACCATGCCCAGCCATTTTTTTTGTATTTTTAGTGTAGACAGGGTTTCACCAAGTCGGTTGGCCAAGATGGTCTCGATCTCTTGACCTCGAGATCCACCCACCTCGGCCTCCCAAAGTGCTGGGATTACAGACATGAGCCACTGCACCAGGCCTCATTTTTATATTTTTAGCAGCGATGAGGTTTTACTATGTTGGCCAGGCTGTCTCAAACTCTTGACCTCAGGTGATCCACCCGCCTCAGCCTCCCAAAGTGCTGGGATGACTCCGCGCCGGGCCCCAAGCATCCTCAATGCCTCTATT